TTACAGCCAATTAAAAACTCCCCCATCATGCTGAAGGACAGTTTACCTGCACTGATAACACACAGCTTTAAAAATCTGAATTTTTAAGCCAATAGTACCAGAAAGATTTTTACAGAAGTAAAATATTTAAAAACAAAGATTTGGGGGAAATCTTTGTAAATCCTCCTAAGAGAACTTCATGCACAGAAAAGAGATGAAACGAGGCAATCAAACACTTGCTACAGGAAGAGAAAGTGGTGGTGTGACCTAATTGTGGCCTTCCAGTACCTAAGGGAGCCTACAAAAAAAGAGGAATAGAGACATTTTACAAGAGCATGTAATGATAGGATAAGGGGGAATGGTCTAAAACTAAGGTTTAGATTAGACATTAGCAAGAAATTCTTTACTGTGAGGGTGTTGATTTTCCAATTTCTTTTCTATAGTGGAATTTAAATGAATAATTGTGAAAAAGGTTGTAAGTGCAAGAGAGGTTTTCACACATATGTAACACTCAGTGCTTCCATCAGTTCCTAGGCTCTCTGTACTTGAGTTCCCTTGAGGAAAGCTCTGTACTTCATCAACTTGCTGCCTTCCATAGAGCAGTTGCCACATTGTTTCACATGGCTTTTCCTCTGCTTCAGAGAGTAAAGTCAGACTGACAGAATTAAAAATACAGGGCCTCTTTAAGGTACCCTTGCCTAATTCAGCCCTTCTGGGGCACGAAAAGGTTCCTTCATAGATTTGTTTCTGAATGCTCAGACACAAAAGAAAAAATATCTTTTGTATGCAACATGTACCACAGCATAAAAACCATGTTTAGTTTTCCTCTACAGAAGAGATGCTTATTTCTCTTAAAATATTACTTCATAACAAGACAAAAATGCTCAACAATTTTATAGTGTGTGGGCCAAAATAACTGCCCAGTGTTCTACTAGCTCTAATGTAGGCCTCCCTGTTTGTATACACACACCTCGTATGCATAAAAGGCTATTTCAATACCTGCACTTCTCATGACTGCACAGTACGCTCTGCTCTGATGTCTTACCATTCTACAGTATCAAAGGGCAAGAAAATTGTAATCCTTTTCATAATTTCCACAGCTTGAAGCATCTATTAGTTATTTCCATAAACACATGCACGATGAAAAGGTCATATCACCTACAGTGATGATGATATTGGCAAGGAACAGTGATGTTACATCATTTAATTTGCCTTCTTTTTGTAAAGACGAGTTCATATGAACATCTCAGCTGGGGATTCACAAAATATCCTCTGCTGGAAGGTGGAAATTTGTACAGAGTACAAATGGAAATAACCTTTTTTATGAAATTTGATTCCTACCCATGACAAGGCTTAATAAGTAACCAATACCAGTGGAGCATTCTACTCCCCTGCTTTGCAGATTTCCACCACCAGTAAACTTCAGATGTACGGAGCAGTGCATCTGTGTGCATCCTGATGAAACAAATCCATACTCAGCCATCATTAACAGCAAGATAACAATCAAAATGAACAACTGGTGTGATGATTGTGTTTACAGAACATCCTAGAGACAGACAGGAAAGACTGAAATTCTATAAAACTAAAGTTTACTCAGTCTTTTCTTAGCATCAAGAGCAGTTTGCAGAAAGCAGACTGACTATTTTTAATTTCTGAGCTCAAGGAATAATTAGAGGTCAGAAATGCCTTTTTTCTTGAATGGAACACAGAGGAATGGTTTCTAGCCAAAGTACCTGAAGCTTAGTCAGGAATCTAAAGGAGTAACAACTCAGTACTCCACGTTCAGAGGAAAGCAGTTTAAAATGCACCTTAGAGATGTTCGATTAGAGACTCACAAGAATACATTTTCTTGGTTGATTACCTCTCAACAGCCCTATGGTGAGCCAGCACGTCCTTGCTCCTTGGGATGTAAGTCTACTCCAGGTACAGAAAACAGGTGAAGATTGCTCACTGCTGGGTTTCAGAAAATGTCTGGCTAAGTCCAACCTCTTCACTACAGTCACTGGCACCAGAGGAGTAAAGGCATTACAGTGGGGTCACTTCCTTAATACCTCTTGGAAAAGCCTCCCAGCTTGGGCATTCCTCCAGTTGGTAATTGCCCTCTCTAGTGCATAATCTCTTCAAACAGGAAAGAAGGAGCCCTGTCCGTGGTGCTCAGCCACAGCCCCATGCCACCAGGGAGGCTGCTGTGCTTGCACCTGGTTACAAAACACCAGGCAAGGCCAAAAGGGATAGAAGAGAAACTGAAAACAAACCAGACAGCAGCCCAAGGGAAAAGCAAACAAACTCCTAAAAAAACCCCTAAAAGGCCTCATACTCCTGCCAACAAAGATGTATTAAAATTAAAGGGCTTTCACCTGAGTCTATGTAAAGATCCTACTTTATAGGCTGACAGCAGAAAACACTGCTAACTACAAGGTGTGTGTATATGTATTATATATGGATTGAGACTATACCCTGAAATACCACCTGCACTGAGCATCAAAACAATCTCCTTACAGCAAAATGAATTGCTGTAATGTTCAATGTTCAATAAACAGGTGAGCATCACCTGACAAGACCAGAGATCTCTCACAGACAGCATTTCACTCATATCCTTTGCAGTGACTATTTTCCTATCATGAAAAAGTGTAATAACTTAAATCATATCCTGAGGATATGATTTAAGTTATTACATCCTGAGGAGTCTGGATGCTGTTCCAAAAATGCCTATACAGACTATCTTGTCCATCCAGACTGTTTGTACCATCATGTGGGAAAACTCCATGGCTGCAAATGAGAAAATATTTGCTCTCCAAGCTGTGATACAATGGCACTTAAGTGCCATAGGAGAAGGCTGAGGGCACACACCTTAACTGCAGTGAGCAAGGGAATAATTCTGCCAGATTGCAAGGGCTGTTCTCACCCTTACAATGGGGTACAAATGAGGGGGAAGAAATCTTTTATTCTGAAAATAAATTCATTTTAGGTTCCATACAAGATATGCCTACGTACAAACTAAAGCTGATCTTATATTTGTGACAAAGTTTAGCACAACAGCATATTGCATTGTGTTGAAAATTAGACCATTAGGAAAGAAAACACATTCATTACACACTATGAGGTGGGCAAGCATCCATGGAAAAATATAAAATGCTTTAGCCTGATTTTCCACCCAGTTAATCAGTACTGAAGCCAACAGAATCACTGTATAATTAAGCAGATTTCTGTAAAGAGCTCATAACAGTTCACACTGCTTTAATAACCTCCCCATGTGTCAGAGAAGCTGAAGAAAGTTTCAAGACTGACGGAAAATTCAAGAAACAGTATCAAGCAGTTTAGAAAATATGAAAATTGATAGCAACTTGTAACATCATGGTGATGACAGTCACAAGCATTTTACAGCATCAGAATATTGTATCTCATTAATAAGAAGTGTGACCATATTTCCTCCTCAGTTTGGAAGTAAAAAAAGCACAAGAGCATGTGGTATGCATAAGAATTACTCTGTCATGCATCATATCACAGTCACATTCATATACCATAAAAATGCTAGTAACTTGTTTCACATAGAAGCACCATTTTTAACTACATACATTATGCATAGAATCCCGTGTTTGGCAAGAAAAGAGCTAAAGAAATATTGCCTGAGACACTGGAGGAAACTAGTACACTTGTTATACATCTTATTGCTTTATAGATTTTTAATACATTAATCACACACATACCCTCAAGAGCAGGAGTTTACCACTGTATGAAAACTTAAGTTAGGCAGCAAGATGTACAGTACTGTACTAAGCATGACTACAAAAAGTGGAATAATCATTTAGTTATTGAAAGGGCAGATAAAAGTGCAAAAATCAAAGTGATCATTAAGGACAACAATGACATCTAGTGGATACTTGGAAAACTGACCCACAGTGTAACAGGTGGAAGGATCCAGCTGCCCTTCCTCAGATATGTGCAGCTCCCAAATGGCTACATACAATTAGGAAGATGGAAAGAATTTACACCTGATGAAAGTCAAAATAACATGATGATTTATTTCTTCCAAAAGAATATTTAATTAATTAAAGAAAAAGAAATCACATCAAGAGCTTTCCATTCAAGATTTAGGATAAAAGTGTAAGTCAAAACTTGAGAGAACACCATAAATAATTTTTTACTCCCATAGTATCTACAGCTTACAACTTCTTCTTTGGATTTTGGTTTTCAGTCCCAACAATCCAAAGTGAAAAAAAAATCCCAGAAGTAAAAATTCAAGCCTCCATTTAGCACCACCCTTTTCTCATCATCCCAATCCTGTTATTGTAACACCTGCCATATAAGGCTGGTAAGTCAAACCTTCCCAAAATACCAGCCAGTAACTGCTGAGCTCCAGAGAAGAGGAATTTGAAACATGAGGCTACCCTGACTCAGAATGAGCAAAGATACCTGCTTATAAGGAACCCGATTACTTTCCAAGGTGGATGTCTACCAAGATCGTGGATTATTTCAAACCTGCTTTTACTGTTAACCAAAAGGTAAGCAAAACTAAGCACCTAAAGCAATTAAAATCTTATCACAGTTCTGACTAGAAGCATCACCAGAAAAATAATACTGGATTTGATCTTTTTATAAATAAAACACTAACAAAATACTACAACTCTGTCTCATTCAAAATCTCATGCCAATCTGAAGAGCTGAAATTTGGATTTTGCTTCGTATTGTTAAAAAACCACATCACATCCAAAAATTTTGCATCTCAGTGACTGTTGAGTATTAAAAAGAAAAATATTAGAAACAATACTCAAAAGTAAAACTTAATTTATGAACATATTCAATTATAACGATGTTTGGTAAAAAGTCTTATAAAAAATAACAGAAAGCAATCTACTAAATTTACAAGATAAAAACTAAAAAGCAAACATCAAAATAAACCCAGCGGTTTTCCCCCTTCAAGCATAATGCCATATTTTACCTCCAAAAACCACTTCATTACATCAGATGTTTTAACAAGAGAGAACTGTTTTAAGATAGAATGCAAAGCATCATTGACCTACCCGGATTTCCTGGAGATTATGAAAATTATTTCCTACTCTGACGGAGATCTTGCTTGGAGTGTAACTTTCATCAGATTTGTAGTCTGCATAAATACATAAGGTCTTCACTGTTGTTTTTCTTCTGCAAGAAGCAACACAAGCTATGTGAGCATCATAAAGAAAAATATTCGGAATGAGTTTGTTGCTAGTTTGCAATAACTAAGGATTTAAATGTTCTGAAAATGAATATAAGTGTGCCTAGTGATTCATAAGAAACTTGCTGTTGAAGAACTAGGTGATTTTCCACATTACATTATGCACACAATTGATTTTCAACATTATCCTCTGCCTGCCTTCAGAAATGTGAGTATACCAAGAAACAGATTCCAAATAAGCACTTGTACATAATGAAGCTTAAGTTAGGCTTTTCAAATATGGGTTCCCTTATTAGACCAAGGCCTTCTCCAAAAAGTAAATAAAAAACGGGGACAAACATCTCAAGTTTGGTTAAAGAAAAAGTTCTGAAAGCATCCTACACAGGAAGGAATAAAAAAGGTTTCTCAAACTCATTTGTTAGGTTACATAGGAGTCATCTACCCTCCAAATGACACTCAAAGATACAAAATCAGGACATAAGTCACATGAGTAAATGTGATGCTGTCACAACTGACATGCCATTAACCATTCATTTTCGTTGCTTATTTAGACATTTAGTGATCATAACATTTGAAAATCTCATTTTTTTAAATGCTATATGACTTCTTACCAGCTGGATAACAGAACTAGGTGATCATAACATTTGAAAATCTCATTTTTTGAAATGATATATTCATTATCATATTACCAGCTGGATAACAAAACTAACCCTGTTACCCAGGGTTAGTTCTTGCACTTCAAGAATTCCTACCTTATTGAACAGTACAAAGCACCCTAACCCACAGGGAGTATATTTTAATACCTAAATTGGATGTTCACCAAATGAGGCTGTGATCCATCTGACTGCCAGTAAGTTTCTAGATTATCATCTCGTAACTGATCCACTCCAAACCCTAAGAAAAAGAAAATGTTATAACCTTGAACATCCCATTTCTGTGATGCAATTGTAGCTCTTCAACTGTTACAAATTAATGTCTCTCAAGTCATAATATACTAGGAAATAGTTCTAGATATCCAAGGTGCACATATGCTTTTCTGACATGAAACTGAAATAGGGGAATCTGCAGAAGTTCAATACTGTTGAGGTCTGTGGGGAATTTCAAGTGGTTAAGTAATAATTCATATTGGTTGCCAGAGTAGTAATTAACAGTTACACTTTTCCATGTCTTCTGTAACTTAACTGCTGAATTTTTAAAAAAATCATTAGCAGAGACCATTCATTATAAATTTTTAGCCAAATGTAACATTTTCTTTTCAAGTCATGTCCTGAAATATTTTTGCTTTTTCAAGTACTAGCTAGAACAGGCAATAGATGGAAAAACCAGTATTCCTAAAGGTTAATGCTATCACATTTGAAGAAGCAACTCCAGCTTTGTATTTTCTATTCCCTCATTATCCTTTTATTAATCATATCCTTTTATTGATTGTTCATACTAGTTGCATTTCCAATAGCAGCTGAAGTTTAATCTGCGATGAAAAAATTTCTTCAGCCTGTTTCAGCAACAAAACCACGAGACATTTTTTCTCCCATACTCCAGGATTTCAGACCAAAGTCATTCAGCCTGAGCACAATACATAAAGGGATCACTAACCCTAGGCTGCAGCAAGACAATTGATCAATTCCCAACAGATATTTCTGAAACAGCAATTCAACCACCCCAAAGGGAAAGAATACATATTTTCAGATATTTTGAGCAGACATCACTAACTGCCCCTGACAACCACAGGTTCATTTTACTTGCAGGGTTTTAGGGCCACCCTGTAACAGCTGAGCCCACAGTTTCAAAAGTTTCAAAGCTCAGGCAGAACATTTAGGTCACTCAGCTGCACGGTCATCCTTAGCTAAAAGGAAGACACCCAGACAAAAGGCCAAAGCACAGAAACTATTTCACTGTGCTGGGTGTGATTCTGCTCACATGGCTTAGTTTGCTCATCATGTAAATAATAAAAAAAATAAAATATGTAAGAGTTCTGTTTAGTTCATATCAGATAGTTCCTCATAGAAGGATTTCTGATACAGTTATAACTTTCATATTGTATCACATATAGAGAAGTCAAACATTATTTGCAGTAACTACAGCCTACACTACAGCAGTTTTACTGCTGTGGATGTCTTCCTCCCAAAACATAAATGTGCATTCAACTTTTTACATCATTGTTGTGATTTACCTGGCTTACAGGATGAAAGAGACCAAACTGCTTGTGAGCCTATTTCTCTAACAGTTCCAGTCCTCTCTAACTGCTTTGGATCAGCACCAGGTGGGGTCTTGTTGGGGGTTGTCATTTCTAGTGAGAGAAAACAAGTAGTTAGTTGACATATTTCTAGCTTGACGGGAAAATTAAAGGACTTTGTTTGTTCACATAGTCAGTTTAATTCTTTGGCCTCACACTTTTATACCAGGCTGCAGAATCTGTGGTTTATACATACACACACATGCATTTTTGCACGTCTGTAGAATATTTTATTAATATATATATAAAGTAGTATGTATAAATATATAGAATATATATGTGCAGTATATGTAAGGGGTTCCACATATGTGTATATTTTGTGTCCTTAAGAACTCAATACATGCTTGCAACATTCATAAGATATACTTGCATTGTTCTAATTTATGCATATAGAGTTAGTCAGGATTTCAGAATTTGGTTATTACAGTTCTGTTTTTTAAAAAAGTAAGATTGAAAATGTTAATTTAAAGGCTAGCAGTACGACATCATTCTCTCCCACAGATACATTTAAAAGTTCTCTTAATCTACAAATCCAGAAACTAGAGCAAGAGATACTTCTCCCCTAAAACAGGAAATGGGAGTTTAAACAAATTGTATAATTTGTAGCAATTAGTTATAGCCACATTTATTCACAGACCATTTCCTGACCTTTACAACTTCATCTGGAGTCATTAACTTGTGACTTGCATTGTTCAAGTAATCACACTCAGCCTCAACACCCAGACTATCACCACACATACGACAACTTAATTAAGCCGCGTTTTGTAAAGTACAGAGCACTTGACTATTTCCTAGGAAGTAGCTTAAAATATTTTTTTAAAAATTCCAAAGAAACCTAAGTTCCACCAAAAGAACGACATTAAAGCTTAAAATTAAACATAGAGCACTAAAAAGCCAGAGAATTAAAGCTGACCTCCTATCCTTGCTTACATGCGTGACATCACATCATGCTCTGCTAATTTCAGAAAAACTCTTCCAGTGCCTCTCCCAGACAGCAAATAAGGGACTGAGTTAGGCTGGGACCCACAAGATCCATGCCTTACCCACTACAGAACTGACACCAGTCAGAGACAACATTTTCCATGTACTAGTGACTCTGCAGCTACAAAGTCCCACAGGAAATCTGACTTCTCTAGTGCAATGAACACTTTCTATTGGCCCTTGAATATTTTCTTTCAATTTTGCAAACGTAAGACTTGACAGAGATCTTTTACCTGCTTTCTCATATACAAAACTCCAGTCCTAACTACCATAAACAAAATCTGAAGAAATAACTCCATGTGTAGAAAAAACTAAATACTGACAACAGCGAGTGTCACAAAAGGCTTCAGACAAAATCCTTGTTCAAAGACAACTCTCTCAGAAGAGACAGCTGGACACTACACAGCTAAGCCTACAGATGTTGTATATATATTCACAGACATATTAATGCTAATGTTATCTAAATAAAAAAACCTTGGAAAAAAATTACAAAACATTTACTGCACAGCTACTTGAAAAACAAACATTTTTCACAGCATCACAAAATGGTTTGAGTGGTGGAAGGGACCTTCAAAAATCACCTGTCCGCTCCCCATGCTGCACCAAAATTCAAACTATGTTTGTTAAGCATTGGGGAGACTATTATCCCAGACTTGTGAATTTTAAAGCTCAAATGACCTTCTAATCCAAGCTCTGGGCAGTTTTTTTTTACTTTTGTCACAGTGAACTAAGAGAGGTTGAGTTGCATTCATTTTAATTCTCACATTTACAGAGACACCAAAAATACTGTTCCTCTGACCTCTAAAAATATATATAGAAATTTCAACCTCACAAAGTAAAGCTATTTGTTCACCTGTAATTCAACTGATCACATCTCAAAAACATCACAGAAAACACCTTTTGAATATTATCACCAGCAAGTCTTGACACTCTTTTGACTTCAAGAGAAAATGAATGAAAAACTCCAAATCCCATCCTTAAGACACAAGGACTATGCAAACATCCCATCAAAACCAACCAAAACAAGGTAAACCACAGAAATTGCATTGCTCAGTCAGATTACATCACAAACTTGATTATATATGCTTTTAGAAAAACATTACTAGAATTTTCAAAGTATGCAGAATACATTAAGATAATGATGTTGAGCTTTCTTATAAGCTTCAGCACACAGAGCAAAGTTCTAAATAACTTAATAATGCAAGACTTGTATTGCACTGGTTCTCCAAAGTTGGAGGCACTACATTTTGGGGGTCTGAAATACACAGCAAGAAACACCATCCAAGTTCCCTACTGTTTTAAACTGAGCTTATTTCTTTTTATCTAACAGGAAAAGATTCTCAAACCCCAGAATTTCAACTCCAAACCACTCCTGACAAATAAATCAGCCACATATTGTGTACTAGTTATGAGAAAGACTGAAAATTTGCAATGGTTGAACTAAATGAGTCAGATTTTCATGACAGAAGGCCTGCTCAAGAACAATACATTCTGGATAGCTTTGCTGAAGCCCCCAATACTCTCAGAACCTTAAAACCTGAAAGCTGATAGAAGTACTGAGGAAAAATGTTGTAGCAACAGGCCAGCTCACTCAAGTAACACTTCCAGACATTTTACTAGCAGAAGTAAAAGTACCTCATTTTAAATGAGACATCAATACTTAGCTCTAAAAGGAATTTAAGTCACCTAATAAAATTTTTCTTTGCTCTTTTGGGCTATGTAAAAACAAAAATTTTTAAGAAGGCCTTCTCCTTGACATGTGCTGAAAAATGGAAAAGTTAATTCCAGAAGCATTGTCTGGAAATATCTGATTTTTCAATTCAGTTATTCCAAAGATCATTAACAGGCTGCTGTTTCCTTGTTAACAGCATGAATATATGAACGTCTTCATTACATGATCAAGCACACCTTCATTTTGCCATTTTCCCCTCTGTGGTTTGCACATCCTTTGGTCAAGACAAAGCAGCAGCTTTTCCCCCCTCCTTGAACTCTTTATCCTTTATCTTTCTCACGGAAGTTCTCTCTTTTCCAGAAAACATTCCAGCCCTGTAGCAGCCAACTGAAGATGTTTTAGCAAGCACAGTTTATGAAGAGAGTGAAATGGATTTAAATGGTTGGGGAAGGCAGACTGTCCAACCAAAGCAGCCAGGTTGTACCAGCAGGAGACACCTTTAAAAGCTGCACACCAGGAAGCAAACCCTTGTGCAAGCACACAACACACCCAACACGAGACACTAAAGGATACATCATGGGCCCTTCCTACTAAAGCTCCATAAAAATCCAGGCTCAAGGAAACTTGCAGATTCCAAAGCAGTTTTCCCCTATTAAAACTTGCAATTCCACCACGTTGTATGCACAGAGCTATTCAAATACACACCTGTAAGGGCCCTTGAGAGACCTGACTGTGCCTGAGAGATGTCTGTCCAGGCATTTACTTCTCCAGCAAGAGATTTGTGGACACCCAGCTTCAGGTTTCATCAACCTAAAAGCTAAAGATTTTCCTTTAGCGTCCAAATCAAGTAACACCACCTAAAAACAAGCATCTCTTGATCTACAGAGAACTCAAAGACTTGTTAACCACTGGCCTTTACACAGCAACCCTGCTATTGATGTGAAGGCACTCATCAAATTTGCTCTTAGTTTTTTCTTTTCTAGTGTCTATGTCTTTCAAGCTCCCCTCACAAAGTTTAATAAACCTAATATTCCTGCAGAGTCTAGATATCCAGCACTGTTGTTTAAAAAAAATAACCAGACCATTTTAGCTAAGGCCATTTTTCATCAGAGTAATCACTTCCCTTGTCGTTATATTTACTCACACTTGTTAATGTGACAAAGCAACACCTGGGTACTTAAAACAACATAATTCTCAATTAGTATTGGTTTTACTGTGCATACAGTGCTGAAATGCAGTATAAATGCCCAGTGTTTTTTGGGATACTGTTTGCTGTTCACTGACACCCTTTCCACTAACCACACCTTTGATTTTTTTTATTCCTGTGTTCTCTTCCTCCCTCAGTTCCTGTGAACTGAGCTTAGTTACACTGATTTTTCCAACCTGCTACCAAGCTTCTCAAGCTGGTTTTTAATTCCAGCCCTTAGCTGTACAGTGCTTGCAATCCTTTCAACTTTGTATTCCACATTCCAGGGAACAGTAAAAATTCACTCAAAACTGAACTCTCCAGGAGCAATTTCATGACACCACTGTTAAAAGTGAGTCATTTACAAGTCAGATTCAAAAGCTCTTAAAAAAAGATCTTTAAAAATAATTATTTTTAAAGCACACTTCAGTAGCTTGAACAATGGCAGAAATCCTGTAAAACTCAAGGCAGACTCCTCATATTCCCCCCTTATTAAGTGCATTGCCTACTGAAAAAAAGTTTAATCCAGACTGCTCTCAACGAGCCACAATAGAATATTTCCTGCGTGCACACTGATTTTAATTGTCCTCTACTTACTGACAAATTCCCTTCCCAACCACCTCCTCAGAATCATTCAGGAGATCAGAGATCATCTGGCTTTTCTCTCTTCTTTTAAGAAGTAATACTCTGATTGCATTCCCATCATACAATTTTATTCAGTTTGAGCAAATATCTGACTACAGTCTTTCCAGAACAAAGGCTGAACTGACTACTTCAGCATTTTTACAACATCCATAAGACTGTTTTTCTTGTTCTTAACAGAAGGGAATTTCATACCTAAGATTCCCTGATTTTCTTAACTGCATTACTCATTTTACTACTCATCTACAAGCTCTTGTCCCTGCTCTCATTTTCTTTGGCTGGACCCTTGCTCTTCTAAGGCCCTTAAAGATCTCAAGATATATCTGAACACCAGCCTCTCACTATGCTTCCTGTTTTTTTAAATTAGATGGAAGAGTAAACATTAAATATTAAAATTACTAATGTTTAATTAATATTTAATAAAGATAGTAAGTGTTCAGCAGCACTCTATTTTAACCAGCTCACCTGTACACTTGATCCCTCAGATTATTCTCTCAATCCAACTTTAATAAAATTATTATTTTTACCCTGCCTCCAGTGAACAGCTTTAAGCCCGTTAGTTAAAATTAATAGACTTTTATTGTCAAAAATAATTTCATTAAAAGTAATCAAAAGAATTATATTAGCAGTTTTATACATATACTTGTAATCAATCTAAAAATATTTTTTAAAATATATTTTTGTGAAAGCCCAGACTTTGCAAAGTTACCTGGGAAGGCTACAAGCTGTTCCTTAAAGGAGGCGAGCACATCTTTACAAGGAGTGTAAAGTGTAAATATTAGGTGGAAACCGTCGTGAAAACCAAGAGCAACCAGAGGATGAAGCCGCTTTGAAAAACCAACCGGTAGCCATCCCACCACGACTTGTTTGTGGGGCTTTCAATCAACATTAATTATATTAGTTATAACTGCAACAATTATAAATAAATATAACGAAAACTAACCAGGTTTACAGCATTATATTGCGGCCGCGGCCCCCCAGGCCCACACACCGCTTTAGTATCGGAAATAAAGCAGCAGCACCTACTCACGGCACGGGCCCCGCCGGATGCCCAGCCCGGCTCCGCTCTGCGGCCGCGGGGGCGACGCGAGAGCCCCGCACGCACGGCGGGAGGCACCCGGCCGGGCAGCCCCACACGCCGCCCCAGCCAGCCGAGCTCCTGCCCGGCCTGGACCTTCCTCTTTCTCCTCCCCTCACGGCGCCGGCAGAGCCGCAGCTCCCACCTTTCCCACCTGATCCCGCCGGGAGCAGCCACGGCCGCCGCCGCCGCAGCGGAGGGGCCGCAGTGCGCACGCGCCGCGCCGCCCGCTGCCCCTCGGGCGCCGGGGCCGCCCCTCACGCGGCGCCACGGGCGGGGCGGGGCCGGCGGGAGCGAGCCCGGGGCGCGCTCGGTGCCGGGCATGGGGCCCGAGTTCCCCCGGGGGCTCCTGGAAATGCTTCCCCACGGGAAGCCAAGCGCGTAGTCCCAGTGTTTCAGGTGCAGATGACGCGCTGCCCGGGGCAGGTAGAGGCCAGCAAGACCTGGGGTCGTGGCACCCCCTGTGCGGGAGCAGTCCGTGGGCACGATCATTATTGGGGGTGGTATCCTTAGTGAGGTGATGGGCTCCCGAAGGAGAATGACAGTTCTTCCCGACGGGAATGAAGCACGTAGTGGTCCAGGTGCAGAAGACACGCTGCCCAGGGCAGGTAAAGGCTAGCAAGACCATTCCATCGTGGTACCTTTCGCATTGTATCAATTCCCGGGCGTATCCGATATTGGAGCTCCGTTCCTAATGCCGAAACCGCGGTCGAGAAAGGGAATGGGAACGCCTTTCCTTGAGAAGGGAAGCACCCGGTCTATCTGTTGCTGCTGCCGTCACCACGTACCCCACAGAGACAGAGGCCAGCCAGACCCTCCTGTCCTGGGAACGCGCCCGGGAGCTCCCCTCGGAGCGGGGCCGCCGCTCGCAGGGCGCCCCGACCCGCCGCGGGAGTTAGCGCTCCCTGCGCCCGGCCGCGCTCTAGGTCTCCATGGTGAGGAGGGCCGCCCTTCCTTCCCTCTCCTCCCCTTCCCTGCTGTCCCTGGCGAGGGCCGCCCTCCCTCCCTTCCCCTCCTCTCCGTGGCGCGCGCCAGGCCCCGCCCCCCCGGGCCCGACGGCCATCTTGGCCGGGTGGCGCCGGCGGCGCGAGCACGTTGCG